GTTATAGGACATGCATTAATATACATTGCCTTTAGCATCTGTCTTCACTGAAATGTTTATTGCTCCTTCAGTGAAATTGTTTGGACATCTCAGCCATGTGCCAACAGGTACCTCTGTTTCTTTGTGTCAGCGTTCCCTGTTTCAGAGTTGCCACTTTGGAGGACACTGCTGCCTTAGCACCTTTGTTTGCTCTGTGAGCCGGGACCTTGTCCAGCACTGTGCTTTGGGCACAGCTCTCAAAGGCCAGCAATTACTCAGCTAGGAGTGCTTCTGCCACACTCAGCGTATTGATACAGGACTGTGCCAGGAAACTGCTGCATCCCCTGAGGTGCTTAGAAGCAAGAAGAAACCTCTAGGCCCTGTTTTTGCATGTGCAGTTCCCTCTTCCTGTGCCAGTCTCTCCCTTTCACGTGGCTGGTTCCTTGTCATCATTCAGATCTTAGCTCAAATTCTACCACCTCCGAGGTGACATGCAAGCTGTCCCATCCGAAGTCCTTCTCCCAGACACTCTAGATTGTATCACCCTGTTCTGTTTCACTTTGGCTTTTTATAGCAGTTATCAAGCACCTGAAATTATCTTCTTGAATTAGCTGTCGGCTTGTTCAGTGCATTTTATCATGCTAGGAAGGCCAGTTCATGAGACCAGGAAAGCTGCGTGTCTTGTTCACAGCTCTCTTCCCAGAAGAGAGGCTGTTTAAATGAAAGTGAAGTGCAATGGGACAATTAACACTGGCTTGGAGGGTTGGGGACTGCTTCATGGAGGAGGTCACATTTTTATTGGGTTTTGAAGGATGGATTATTATTTCAACAGGCAGATATCAGGATGAGCTGGGGGACATTTTAGGCTGAGCAAGCATGCAGCCCAGCACATTCAGGGAAAGGTAGCCTCGTATGGCAGAAACCAAAGGTCCTTAAGAGGAAGCGGTGCACGGGAAGGCTGGTATGCCAGGCTGAGGCCACAGGTGGCAGACATCGAATTCATTTCAGTTCTACTGATTTGTTATTTAGCTAGTGATGTGTTAGACTTGAAGACACAGAGATGACTAAGACACAGTATTATGCTGCCCTGCAGTGGGGAGCCATGAGTGGCTTTTGAGCAGGGGAATGACAGGAGTGCCTTACAGGGGTCAGAATGCAGGAGTGGTTAAAAGCACAACCTCCAGGACCAGGCAGCTTGGAATCAAATCTGCTACTACCTAGCTCTGTAACCACAGCAAGTGCTTAGCCACGTTTATGGCTTAATTTTCTCATCTGTAAAGATGGTAGTAATATTTGTAGCTCTCTTGTGGCTTTCCTGTTAGGATTAAATTAACATTTGTAGCATGGCATCTGGCACTGAATGCATGTTGGCTATTATTATGTAACATGTTTAAAACAATGTCTGGTGCATAGAACATTTTTGGTGATTGTGTTTTGTTTTAAGAAAGACGATTAGCAGGAGTGTAGATAATCATTGCAGGGAGCAGACAATGGGCACAGGAACACTACCTAGGAGGCTACTGCATCAGTTGGCAAAGGGAATAAGCACAGAACTAGATTAAAGTGAAAATAAAAATTGGTAGGGCAGATTGGACATGGAGTGTGCTGCAGAATATGTTTAGGAATAAAAGAAAGTAGGTTTAATTTGGGGGTCTGTTGAGTTTAAGGTGCCTGAGGAAAATCCCTCCTGATGTTCATTTGAAATAATAGGGAGTCATCTGAAGTTTAGGACCCAGAGGTGAGTATAATATAACAGAGATTTGCATTCTGGAAATGTGGGTATGCACATTAACAAAGACTACCAAGAATTTAGAGGGAAGCTATTATTCACCTGCTACATTGGCAAAAAAAAATAAATAATATAATATATATGTGTATATATCATACTTGTGTACTGTTTTGCATTGCTGGCAGTAGTGTATATTTGTGAAATCTTTCTGGAAAGCAGGTTGGCAATGTTTATCAAGAGTTTTAGAGATACCTCTGAGCCAGTAACTTCACTTTTTGGAGTCAATGCTAAATTAATGATCCAAAATCAGATCATTATTATGTACAGAGCTGCTCACCACAATGTAACATTCAATTGAAAAAATGAACCCTGCAAACAGACTCACTCAATGGTAGGAAAATGATTAAATAATAATGTGTTCATATGCTAGAATATTATGCAGCCATTAAAAAATCATGTTTACTGAGACTTTTAATGTGAATTGCTGTGAAGGAGAAAAACCCAACAAGGATACACAGTTGTTATATACAGAATATGAATTCGACTCTGCTAAAAAATAAACAGTGTAAGGATTAGAAGGCAATATACAAAAATGTCCCTGTGTATTATTTCTGTTTGAGAAATTGAGGCATGGGTTGGTAGTTTGTTGAAGTCTAGTAAATGAGTTTGAATTAAGACCAGATTTTGGCTTATTTAAAATTTCTTTTCCGTCTTCTCCTAACATATCCACTAATATTCAGTTACTAATGCAATAAAAATCTTTGGCTCACAGACTAAAATTCAAATTGTAATTTCTGTTACAAATCTTGACCACATTGCTTTTTTTCAAAATAGGTACAGTCCATCAAAGGCCTAGAACCTGAAACCTCCTTTTCAAGTTAGTTAATGTCACGTCATTGTACAATTTTGAATATGTCACCAGCCTGTTGACGTTTTCCTCTCCCCTAGCTTACAGACACACAATCTACTTTCATTTAGAGGGACATGATTTTTACACAAGGGATTCCCTGGGTAGGTCAAAGACAAAAGATTAGTACAATGCACCATATGGAGAGGGTAATTCATCCAAAGTCCTTACTTCAGTTGCACCCCCAAGCAGCTAAAAGAAAGCCAGTCATCTTCAGGAGCACTCCTGAGAGCACATGGGTATGAAGAACGCACCCGCCAGTCACTGGAATTGGATTGCAAATACCCTAGAGCCGAGATCTTCTGGATCATACCATAAATTTCTTCAGGATATTAACACTGAACAAAGCATGTTGCTTCAGGGCTCTAAGAGGAGTCCTCTCCAGTCCCACCCTCTCACACACATATGAACACACGTGCACACACATCCAACTGCACGTTTCAATATCCAGCCTCGTCCCATCTCTCTTCCTGGGACTGACCTTGATAGAACAATATTTTTGGAGGTTTGCTTTTGTTTTTTACTGTAGAAGGCAAGTTTTTTTTTTTTTTTTTATCTACTATGTAGAAACAGATAAAAGGCTACTGAAGAATTGATAAACCTCATGGTGGTTGTTTCCCCAAAACATATTGATCATATTTTCCAAAATCCCAATGGGTGTATATGGCCCATGGAATGGAATTTGCTATAGTTTTGGGCTTCACAGGATCTTTTTGACATTCTAGATACAACTTGGGGAATTTTCCTCTGTAGGTGTCCCAACCATAAAACAATAGAAGCCAGAAAATTCCCTTTCCCTGCCTTTCTAAGCTTCTTACAGGGTGCAGGCGTATGAACTGTGAGAGCTGACAAGCAGACACACCTGCTGGGATTCCGATTCAGGAGCAAGAGATGTGATGAAGCAGGTCACTCCTCTTCTCACCAGGAGAGGGTTGTGGCAGGCCAAGGCTTGGATTTGAGAGTAGCAGTAACGGAGATGTACGACAGTAGGGTCTTTCCTAGAACAATCTTGCATCTGATTTAGGCATTTGTTCTTGGTGGGGTAGCCTGTAAACCCAACTCTCTGGTCCTAAAGTGGGCACTGAGGAAAAGCATCTGGCATTGGATAAGAAAACTATAGCATCAAGTAAAACTTCAACAAGTTTCAGTGTCATCTGTGAACATTTCTTGCCTCCTGATTGGACAGTGGCTTTTTTTTTGGGGGGGGGATTAAATAAAAGCAACTATCCCTGCCATTGGGTAGGCCTTCCAGTCAATGGCTTAGCTCAACATCATTCCATCATGTTTTGGAAAAACAAGTCCTTTAACAGGTAGGGTTATTTTTTTCCCCCATTCATTTCTCCAAGTTTAAAGATTTATGAATGCAATACCCAAAGTTTAATCAGGAAATACTAAAGTAAATATAATATTAAGCATATTCATGTAATGGAATTCTATATAACAGTAAAAATCGAAAACCTACTGCTATAATAACAATGACAACACTTACAAACATAAATTTCAGCAAAAGGAACCAGGCACAAAATCTACATACTGTATGAACCCATTTATAGAAAGTTAAAATGATAGGCAAAACCAAACTATAGTGCAATTCTTTAATATGCTGATTAACTTTGGAGAGGCATGAGCATAATAGCTTCTGGGATGCCAATGTATTACTTTTCTTTTTTTAATTCTCTCTTTTTTTTTTTAGATACTGGACACAGTTTCAATGTGTGTTACTTCTTAATCTGGGTGGTGCATACATCTGTGTTAGCTATGAAAACTATTACACTAATGAATTGTGAACTTTTCTGTTTGTATTTTACACTTTAATAAAAAGTCTTTTTTCCTTGATTTTTATGTCATTTTTAAAAATTCCACATCTCTTATCAATGTTCAATCTGGGACATAACTGATATTGATTTACAAAACTATTTACTAAGTATTAGTAGACATTAGGAGTTATCATTTTTCAATATTTGAAGAAGCATCGCCAATACCTAAGGATTATTTTTCAATAATTTCAAATGAAACTAAGGGTTGGCTTGACAAAGTTTGTTATATCAGAGTCCTTCCGAAAGGGAAGATTTCCGGCTGGTGTGTGTTGACAGGACTGCACTCAGCCTCTCAGTCAAGACTCTCTGAACATCTTTTCTCTCCTTGCCCACGAGCCCCCCAAACCATGACTCTGAAAAACCACCGCTTCATGGGCAGGGTCCTGTGCCGACGCCCCATTTCCAAATGTGTCAACAGAAACGAAAATGAGATAAAAACATTTTCTTTTTCTTTAAAAGGTAAAAGTTTCACGTTATTTAATGCAACCCAGCTCCCTGGGGGAAAAGTACCGATGAGAGAAAGGAAAGGAACCAAGACACCACAGAAAATTACATCGAATCGGAAGCAGACAAAGGCAGCCAGGACTATCTTATTTATTATAAAGATACACCGTGGAGAACAAACCTGACTGTATACCGCAGCCTGTAATGGTACATGCCAAAATGTACAGTACTATACATAAAAGTGCATTGTCACAACAGATTAACAAAACATGTTTTTGTTTTTTTTTCTTCTTCCAGAACTGTAAAAGCATTCCCCTTGATTCTCGCCTCGGAGAGGAGGGGATGTGTGGTAAGAGGCAGCACAGGGCCTGGGCGACACGGTGGCAGTCAGCAGCACGCGAGCGGGGGGTGGACGGGGCAGGGGAGGAACGGTGTGTGTGTGTGGTGGGGTGAGAAAGGCACAATCACGTCTACGAGGAGGACGAGACAGTCTGATGACGGACGAGGATGCAGGACGGGACACTACTGAGCACCGAGGCACAGGAAGGCGGGGCCGGAGAAGCCGGGAGAGAGGACGTTTCCAAACACTCAGGTGGGCAGCGGGAACCAGGAGGAGCAGGTGGGCGGGGAGGAGCGCGGGGCAACGGCACAAGAGCAAGGCTAAGACTCCTCTAAAATAGAAAGGCACTTTCACATGTACATACTACAGATGTACATCGACACGATTAGGTAACAGTCACAAGCAGGAAGCTACCAGTACTGCAACTGATCAAACCGACAGGAAAGGACAATACCGATTTAAATACGTGGGCAGGAGTTGCCCTTAAGTACGTAGGTAAATAGCAGTCTCTCCTGTTACACAGCCACTTACTATACTTTAAATATCTATAATAACCATCACACTACACATTGAACTTGGATGAATGCTCTAAGGGGGGCATTCACAAATGCACAGTTTATATATTTTCTTTTACTAAACAGTTTCTAAGATAAGCATTATGGATCCCAGTACAATTAAACATACAAAATTCCCTACATAATTTAAAGATACAGGTATCCATCTCGATTATACCACATAGATTATTATTATTCATTTTTTTTTAAAGAAAGTATACTAGGGTTAAGTGAAAGCTCAAATTCCAGTTTGTTTTATCAGTCTGACAAAGCTTTGCTAAAGTCACCCTGCACCAAGCTTGACACTCCAGCCCAGCTGGAGGTTGTGTTCTCAGCTCAGGGGGTGGTCTGGAGTAGAGGGCTCTATTTACACACCGTGGTGCCTTCAGTTCTAAGCTGCTCTGTGTCTCAGGGTCTCTGTGGTGGATCATTGAAAGTAAGACCGAGTCCCAAGCCCATTTCCTGCATTCGTGGCCTCTTCACTGCTATGGTCAGTAATAAATGAGTGTCATCCCAAATCTGAAGTCTTCTAACTCCACTTGGACAGACCCACAGGCTCTTTAACTTTGGATTTCAGAGGCTGCAATGATCAGATTAAAATTTCTTTAGTTTGTAGACTCCAGAAATTGTGTCATCCCTAACTGCTAAGGACTGTCTCACTACTAACCTACCTCCTTTTGCCTTTTCTTTAATTTAATTATGAACCCATTTTGGGAATGGCAAAACCTGCAAACGTGGAAAACTCTTAACTGATACAATTTGACTCTTGGAGCTCTATAGCTATTGATAACTGTTCATGACCATTGCAGACTGAGTGGAACCCTGCTATAAATTATTCTATATTCTATGGAATATAGATATTCTATATTCTAATTCTATTCTATATTCTAATATTCTATAGAATAATCTATGGCTCAAGGGGCACCAAGGCCAGATTGTGTTGTGTGAAGACGGGTAAAATTGGTGAACAGTGGTGTCGACACTGAACATGAACACAGAGCTCTACAAAGCGCCAGTCAACAGGTTTCAACAGTTTACATGACACTTATCAGAAACTGTGTCCTGAGCACCTTCCTCTCCATCCTAACAATCCACTCCCAAAACCCGCAACCCAATTCTAAAGGCTGACTTGGCAAATCTACTTCAGTGGATCCTATGGATGCGATAAGAACATACAGTTAATATCAGCTATGAATACACATTCTTGTGTAAGTGGAGTCAGGTAATCTTTGTAGAACTATCATCAAAATGACTCCCTCCCGAAACTGCACATGAAGATCCTTGAAGCTGGGGACAGAATGTCTCAAGGTCTCATTTTCTCTCCTCTCCCCCTTCCCTCTGTGCGCTGCAGCCGTGGCTGGTAAAGAAGGCTGTGTACCAGGCCAACCTTCTCAGCTGCAGCAGCTTTTAATGGGCTTTACTAGGTGTTATTGTGGCTCCTCTGTGATGTGGCCACCCTGTCTTATTCCTGGAATCTGAGGACTTTAACTCAACAAAGGATAGGTGAGTCCTTACTGAGTCCTTACTCTGAGGTCATACTCTTCACTTGGAATTGAAAAAAAAAAGAGCCTCAAGGTGAAAACAGAAGCACAGGGAGAAAGGATGGACACAGGCAAGGTAAGGAAGTGATGGGAGAGTATTAGGAGCTGTCTCCTGAAAGAAGGCACAGCCTTGAGGATCTGACGGTCTGCAGCAGCATGTCCCCTGCTAGCCAAGGCGGCAGAGTCCTGACTGGAGGGGGAGAAAGGCAATCCTCATTCCACCCTAGGGAGAAAAACACCCAAGAGAGGAGACACTGGGCGGGACTGCCAGGGAGCAGCCTGCAGGAATGAGCTGACAGGAGTAAGATCGGAAAAGCTAAGGCTAAAGCTCTTAAGACATTTAAAAAAGGAGATTCAAAACACCTGTGCCCTTTCCACACCCTCTGTTAACTTCTTACTCTTCCATTTCAGAAGGAAGATGGTTTTTAAGAATCCTTATTATTTTAAAGAACTGAGAGATTATTTAGGAAAGTCTCAACTTCCTAGGGATGTGGAGGTCTGTTTAAAAGGCTGAGTGCTATTCAAAACTCAGTCTCCACTGGGTCTCCATGGTGTCCCGAAGGTACTGAAGGACCATTAAAGCTCAGGAGAAGCGGCGAGGGGTTGGGCAGGGTGCAGAGCTGGGCCTCTTTTTCAAAATGGGTAAAAAGGATGGTTCTGAAGATTCAGAGGTTTGAAATTTTACCGTTCTTGGAAATGAGAAAAAAAAAATCACTACTCAATTCATTTGTGAAATTAGGCCATAGGCAAGCAACCAGCAGTGTGACTTTGAAAGGTAGCAGTGTCTCATTAATCTCTTCCTGTAATAGGATGATTAGAATGGTAAACTGAGGTAGAGCTCAAAGTAATGATCTTGATTTTAGTACAGATACTGATTTGCATCTGCATAACGCATTCAACCAATGGGCTGATGAATTTAAATCCATACTCTGTCATTCTTAGGGGGGCATGAAATTGGCCGCACCAAACCTAGAAGGAAACCAAGGGTAGTCCAAAGGGGTTAGTTCTGGGTCATCCATTTTTCTTAAAAACAAAATCTCTTCATCAGGAAGATCAATGATAAAGTAGATAAAATGCTCCCAGGCCTATAGATGATATCAGATGATGATATCAGATGCTGCTGGTAGGACAATAGGGATTTGTACCTTAGTAAAAACAAGTGAATTCAAGGTAAATTCTTTAAGATAGAGGGAAAATATAGTATAAATACAGATTAAAGAAAAATTATCTGTGTGCTAGGATGCCAGAGAAGGAGGGTCCTTAACTGAGAGCTCAGCTGACTATGTGAGTTTTATAGAGACCACATACAAAAAAAAGGGGGGGTGAGTAGGAGAGAAAGAGAAAGTCAGGTGCAAAACTGGGTGGAAAACATCCTGGAACATTGAGGTAATCTTCTCACTTTGGCCCAGCAAGGCTCTTACTCAAGTACCATAGCCAGTTATGGGTTGGTGGCTCAAAGACAAATGGAGATGACAGTTAGAATTTCAAATTTAAGACCATCAGGCCTTTGTGGCATGTTTAAAGGAACCAAGGTGATTTAGCCAGAAGAGAATGCTGAGTGAACCGAGGACTCAGGTGCTACTTGCTTTCTCTGTTTCCACAGAGGAGAACACAGGGATTTAGGGGAGACAGAAATATTTTCCAGGCAGTTACTGAACAACAAACCTTGGGAGGGGGTTGTAGAGAAGTGTAACCAGAAAGTCTTTAAAATTAGACAGTTCTAGTCTTTTGTAAATGCGGGGGAGGGACTTGGAAATCTCCCAGACCTGATCATGCTCATTGAAGGCGTGACATCGATAGCTTTGGGGACGGTATCTCCCTCTCCTTTCCCAGGTTTAGTTCAAGCAATAACTGCAGAGGTTCTACCCGCTTCCACTGAGTATGTAACCTGGACCTAGGGAAATGATTGTTATGAAAGAGGCAATCATCCAACCCACTCAAACCGTGGGCTGAAGGTCCCACTGGGAATATCCCACGGTGACAACTGCAAGCCTTGAGCAGGAGCTGGACCTCTGCTCTACACAGAATCAGAGGTGCTCACTGTCAGCTGCCACCCAACGCCATTGTCACCTTTCAGCCATTACCCCAAATACCACAGGCCAACACTGGTGATGAGACCAATGAGACCTGGAACTCGGATTCTCCTGCCTTCGGATCAAGACATGTCTGACTCACCTGGGCTACACTAAATCTGAAGCACTGTACAATGCGGAGAGCAGTGTTGCCTTCATTACAAGTGGTGCAGCATTGGATTTTCAAGTAAGTCTAAGTGTCTCTATTGTCTTTAAAATGACATAAGATATGTCCAGTTATTAAAAAAAATTTACAAAATACAAATGCCCGTGTTAATTTAGCTAGTCTCAGACATTACATTCGACAACATAGAAAAGCCAAAGATCTCCAGTTATAAGCACAAAACTAAGCAAAGTTATGGATCGTTGACTTTTGTCGCTAATCCGTTTTCTTTTTAAAATCACCTCCCTTTATGACCTTGCTCAGCTGGTTTTTACATCGTGCAAGACTTGTCTGCTGGACCCTGGGAAGGCGGGGCAGGTCCTATGGTGGGGTTTGTTTTTGGAAGAACAGCAGGTTTCGGCCTAAGGGCTGGGGGCTTCAGCTGCACGCCCATTCTGGGTGCCACCATAGGCTTGAAAGTACTCATTGTGTCACTGGAGGAGCTAGTGCTACGTCGAATCTGAGGCTCAGAGCTCCTGAGGGTGACGTTGTGCAAAGGACTGAGAGATTCCGTGGAAGTGGCAGGGATGGGAGAGTTTTTCACTTGTTCCAAGGTATCCAGCACCACATCCGGGGCATGCTTCGCTGTGCTCTGTCTCTCCAGTTCTCGTAGTTCACTCAAAGCGGTGTTCATCGTCTCCTCAATATCCTGTTGAAAAATAATCACAAAGAAAAGAGCAGACTGATAACTAACACCTATGTGTAGAAACTCACGTACTTCATTTCAAAATAAATAGGCCCGCAAAGAGTATGAACATTTTAACTTTATAGTCTGCAGAGTGCATAAACATAATGCTATCTCGCACAGATATTTTGACTCTCAGCTCAGGAGACTCAGATGCAGTGGCTCACGGAGCCATTTATCAAACAATTGCCCTTCTCGGGCTCTTGGTTGCCTTCTGGTGGTTTCTGCCTTGCATGCTGACCTATTGATATAGAATTCTATTCCAACTTATGGTAAAAGCTTAAATTGAGATACTGTAACACTTTCTCAAGAAATAAACGTGAATAGGAATAAAAAAATCAGGCTTCATTCATTCATTCAACAAATAACTTCTGAGTACTTATTATGCATTTGGCTAACTCCTAGAAGTTCTTCAGAATTCAGCTTTAGCCTTCCCTTGATGAGACTGTCCAGTGGATCTCAATAAATGTGGTTTTTCCCCTTAGAGGGTATTTTTTGTAATATGGTGTGTGTGTGCGTTTTTTAATGTCATAATGATGAGGTTGCATTATTGGTGGTTGGTGGGTAGGGGTCAGACATGTTAGATATCTTGCAAGTGCCTTGGTGAGTTTACATGCAATGAATTGTCCTGTATCCTGTTCAACTTTTGAATGTCCTCCAGACATTTGTGTAGGGGAAAACTCTGTTTACAATAACCTGAGTTGGTTATTATAAAAAGTTAGTTATATAAAAAGAGTTAGTTAGAACCTAACTCTGTTTTAAACATATAAATACAAAATATTTTTTTCATGTTGTTAAATTTTCCAGAAATGCAGCTACCATATAAGTTATTCTTTGCTTTGATTGGAACTGTATGACCGAGGGGTTGTCCACCATTTTAGAAAAAACTCTTATATTACTAATGGGAACACCTTTTATCTACACATATAATTTCCATAAATGCAACAGTTATGGAAATTATACCTGTAGGTGAAAGCATTTCACTACTTCATTTGTCTTCTAATGTAGTCAATAATTAACTGGAATACATTTATTTCAGTATTTATTTCCTGTTATTTTTCTTTTATATTTCATTTAGAGCTTTATATATTTTTCAAATTAGATATATCATCAATCAATTTACTTCAGTTAGTAAAGGGGGAGTTACAATATATCTATTTCAAAACAGTAGCGTGTGCTCCATTGATGAATGAATGGATAAACAAAATGTGGTATAAAAATACAATGGAATATCATTCATCCTTAAAAAGGTAACAATTCCTGCCACATGCTACAAGATGTGTGAATCTTGAGGACATTATGCTAAATGAAATAAGCCAGTTACAAAAAGACAAATACTGTATGATTCTACTTACATGCAGTATAAGAAAAGTAGTCAAATTCATAGAAACAAAAAAGTAGAATGATGGTTGCCCAGGGCTGGGGGAGGGGGCAACGGGGAATAGTTTAATGTATACAGAGTTTCAGTTTTTTTCAAGATAAAAAAGTTCTGGAGGCCAGGCATGGTGGCTCATGCCTATAATCCTAGCGCTCTGGAAGGCCGAGGTGGGCAGATTGCTTGAGGTCAGGAGTTCGAAACCAGCCTGAGCAAGAGTGAGACCCTGTCTCTACTAAAAATAGAAAGAAATTAATTGGCCAACTAAAAATATATAGAAAAAATTAGCCGGGCATGGTGGCGCATGCCTATAGTCCCAGCTACTTGGGAGGCTGAGGCAGAAGGATTGCTTGAGCCCAGGAGTTTGAGGTTGCTGTGAGCTAGGCTGACGCCACGGCACTCTAGCCCGGGCAACAGAGTGAGTCTGTCTCAAAAAAAACAAAAAACAAAACAAAACAAAACAAAACAAAAAACCAAAGTTCTGGAGAGCTGTTTTAAAACAATGTTAATGTACCTTATGGAACTATACATTTAAAAATGGTTAAGATGGTAAATTTGGTTATATGATTTTTATTGCACACACACACAAAAAATAAAACAAAGAAACAATTGCTGGGTGAGATATGGTGGAGAACCACTGCCCTGGTCTGAATGAAACATCTATTCTCTACCTTCTCGGGTTCCTTCCCCTCACAGCACTGCACAATGGTCACTGATTTCCGAACCCATCTCCCCCACTGGATCATAAGCACTTTGGGGCAGCAGCTACTGTTTATCTTTGTGTCCACAAAGCCTAGCACGAGACCTGGCATACAGTGAGGGCTCAATAAAGATTTGCTGAATGAATAATCCAAGAACTGATATTAAATCACAGTCTCTAATAATGAATAAACTAAGACATGACGATCACATATGGACATTGTTGTCTTTTAAAAATCTTCATCAGAGATTCCATTGATTTGTTTAATAATAGCATTTGCATGCTTTTTGTATGAACACTGTGATGGCATGCTTCCTTGTCCTCATGGGAAAATCTGAAGACTAGAGATGGAAAGATAAACAAAGGACCAAGCTGGAAGCCATTTCATGTGGATGACATCATTTTTCAAGTGATTACTTTCACATGTGATTCCCATTTGCTGCTAAACATATGGATTTGCTTTTTTACAAGTATTTACCTCAGAGAGAACGTGGAGAGCCTGGTTATCTGTTGGGTTTTTGTTTTGCTAATGTACAATAAAAAAAAATTTCCAAGTTCTAGCAAAAGGGTTAAACATATTATTATGCCTTTCCACCCCCAAGCACCTAAATCCCTGTCTCTTTAGCCCAAATCATGTTTCACTGGATTACAAGTAGTGATATTATAAGTTTCTCAAGTCATTAAATTCCGCCACACTAAAATATCACTGGCTCTACACATGCCTCAAAGGGCTCTGCAAAGCTCTTTAAGTAGAAGAAAACAAAACAGTCAAAAGTCTTTCTGATTGTTGCTGAGAAACTGTTGTCCATTTAAATTGGTTTAATTTATTTAAAAACACATCAAACTTCTCACACAATCTAATTTGCTATCCAAAATTCTTTTTAGTTAGAACACTCAAAATAGCTTGGAGATTTGTCATATCAGGGCAGGTTTCCTTAGGTGCTTTTTATTAAAAAGAATCCATCTTTAATACTTCCTCATGTTGGTTTCATTCATTTCTTATTAATTTTTTTGTATCTATTTAGTTTTTAAACTTCAGTGATAGCTTTACATTATTTAAATGGCAAACCCTGAATCTATTTACCTCCTTGGTTACTGGCTGTAAACATATTTTCTGATAGCCTACACTGTGAAAAGAAGCAGAAGGAATGGTAGAACAATGGGCAAATTCATTAATATTGTTTTACTTTGTAATTATGATCATTAGAAAAAAATGACACAGCCCCTCTCTGCAGTCACTGTTGGGAAGTGTGCTCAGGAGGTACATGGGACATGGACTCGCTGTTCTTCCAGTGGCCCAGTACTGATCACACTACTTATTGACTATTCCATCATTTCCTAAGTTGAGGAAGCTTCATCTTTATAGTACATAGTAGTCTCTTCTTTATCTGTGGTCTCACTTTCCACATTTTCAGTTACTTGTGGTCAACTGTGGTCTGAAAATATTATCTACAATAAGATACATTGAGGGAGAGATCACATTCACGTCACTTTTATTACAGTATATTTTTGAAGTTGTTCTTTCTTAAAATTAGGTATCATTGTTAATTCTTATGGTGTCTAATTTATAAATTAAACTTTATCATAAGTATGTACATACAGGAAGCATAGTATATACAGAGTTTGGTGCTATCTGTGGTTTCAGGCACTACTCGCTGGAGATCTTGAACCATATCCCCTGTGGATAATGGGGAAGTATTATATTAAAATTTTTTCTGTTTCTGGGCTTTCCATTCTGTTCCATCAATTTGTCTGTTTTACTAGCTTTAGAATGCATTTAGGATCTGGTCGGGCTAGACTTTCCTCATTATTCTTCTTTTTCTTTTTTTTTTTTTTTTTGAGACAGAGTCTCACTTTGTTGCCCAGGCTAGAGTGAGTGCCGTGGCATTAGCCTAGCTCACAGCAACCTCAAACTCCTGGGCTCAAGCGATCCTCCTGCCTCAGCCTCCCGAGCAGCTGGGACTACAGGCATGTGCCACCATGCCCGGCTAATTTTTTCTCTCTCTCTATATATATTAGTTGGCCAATTAATTTCTTTCTAATTTTATAGTAGAGACGGGGTCTCGCTCTTGCTCAGGCTGGTTTTGAACTCCTGACCTCGAGCAATCCGCCCACCTCGGTCTCCCAGAGTGCTGGGATTACAGGCGTGAGCCACCGCGCCCGGCCATTCTTCTTTTTCGATATTTTCCTGGCTATTCACCAATGACGGGTTCGAATGTTCTGTGTCCTGTGTTTCTGCCACGTCTGTTTAAATCAGTATGAACCTAGTCTGCTCGGGCCCTTCCAGTAACAAATGGTTCCTCAAAAGAGACTCCCAGCTAGGCCTTAAAGAATGGGCTCATTTCCTTTCTGTTTTCTTAGTTGGTTCTATACAAAAACATAGCTACGGAAAGTAAATACTTCACACCCTCTTCGCCACACCCAGGAGCTTAAAATGCAACATTCAGTTAAAAGCGCCGTACCTGAGCAATGGTCTCTGGGTCCAGCGGCTTGTGGTCACTGAAGCCCGTGTACTGCCCTGACGACGTGGACCTCCTGATAGGAGGGCTGTCCATCTTCTTGAGGGAGTCGTGCCGGCTAATGTTGGTCAGGCTGCCGTGGCCCGGCCGGCGCCTCCTCTCGGGACTGTCATTGTTGAGGCCACGGTTCTGCAGCAGGCCCCGGGGGTGACTGGCCAGGTTTGGAGACCCCAGGTCAACCGAGGAGTTGGAAAGGGCGTGCGGGGGGTGAAGGGGGCAATGGCCATCACTGGTCCTGCCAGGACGCCTTACTGGAGGGGGTGGCTCTCCTCTTTTTCTTTGTCTAGACAGCCACAGAAAGAGAGAGAGAAAACAGCTTATCACGCTGGGCAATGCTGCAAGGCTGAGTTTATTTATTTCTTTTTATTTTTTCTTAGAGATAGGGTCTCACTTTGTCGCCCAGGCTGGACTGCAGTGGTGCCGCTAGAGCTCACTGTGACCTTGAACTCCTGGCCTCAAGTGACCCTCCCAACTCTGGCCTCCCAAAGTACTGGGATTACAGGCATGAGCCACTGTGACCAGCCAGAAGTGGAGGTTTAGAAGCCTGACTACCAGACTCCACTTACCTGGCTAAGTAGCCATCAGAATGGCGGTCTGTCGGGGAGTTCATGTCCTTGGATGAGGACTTGTCTTCAGTGACTGGCCCACTACTGGCCTCACTGTCAGCTTTTTGGCTCAGAGTGTCAGAAAACGTATCATCCCTAAAACAGTAAAAGTCAAGAATGAGAGTCTTTTGCTAGACAAGTGGAGACAAAAAATGAGTGATAGCATTAATGCATGTAAGTCTTTCTTTTACTAATATAATTTTTCTCTTTTCATTATAAAAACAATACAGTTTCATTGCAGGCAAATTGGAAATTTCAGTTATACTAAAAAGAGAGAAATAATAATCACCCCTAATATAACGTCCAGAGACAACTACTGTTAGAATTTTAGGAAATATCTTTCTATACCTTTTTTTCTATGCCTGGGATACATACCTATGAGTGTGTACATATGTATGTATAGTATTATGTTTATACTACAGTCATGTGTTGCTTAAAGAGGATGATCCGAGAAATGAGTTGTTAGGTGATTTTGCTGTTGTGTGAACATCTCAAAGTGTCCTTACATGAATCTAGATTGTATAGCCTACTACACACTCAGGTTGTATGGTATAGCCTATTGCTCCTAGGCACAAACCTGTGCAGCATATTATTGTACTAAATACTATAGGCAATGATAACACAATGGTATGTACTTGTGTGTCTAAACATAGAATAGGTACAGTAAAAATACAGTATTATAATCTTATGGGCCCACTCTTGTACATGTAGTTCATCATTGCCTGAAACACCATTATGTGGTACATGACTCTATACTTACATATATTTATTTTATATATAAATATATATTTTAAATAAAATATATTTATTTATATTTAGATACTTTAGATATATGACTGCATGTCTATATACACATATATAACATTTCTTGGATTCTAAGCTACACATTTTTTCATTTCTAAAATTAAGCTGAATCATTTAGTCACTATTTATGTTTTGTGCGGTATGTTTCTCTTTTCCTTGAAATATTCCTTTTATTTATTTATTTATTTATTTATTTATTTATTTATTTATTTTTGAGACAGTCTCGCTTTGTTGCACAGGCTAGAGTGAGTGCCGTAGCATCAGCCTAGCTCACAGCAACCTCAAACTCCTGGGCTCAAGCAATCCTCCTGCCTCAGCCTCCCGAGTAGCTGGGACTACAGGCATGCGCCACCATGCCCGGCTAATTTTTTCTATATATATTATTTGGCCAATTAATTTCTTTCTATATTTATAGTAGAGACGGGGTCTCACTCTTGCTCAGGCTGGTTTCGAACTCCTGACCTCGAGCAATCCGCCCGCCTCGGCCTCCCAGAGTGCTGGGATTACAGGCGTGAGCCACCGCGCCCGGCTGAAATATTCCTTTTAAATTGGCAATGCATTATGAAATACTATACTCAGAAAACAGGGATTATGTTGTACATATTATTTTGTAATGTTTCTTTCATTCACTATATTATGACCATCTTCCCATGTCTTTAAATATTTTTGAAATTACAGTTTTCTTCTCAGCAAAATTAAAAAAAGAAAAAAGCCTAGAAACAATTCCCTTAGACTTTAGGTGAGTATCCTCCTGCTTGGGAGTCTGGAATTGACACAGGAGACAATCATCAAGAGAAGAGCACTGCTGTTTTTGGAATTACCAGCATCACTTAGGATCTTAAAGCCATTCTCCGCACAGGCTATTTTTCTAAGAATCTGAAAGCTTCAAAAGATATCCCCCACTAGTTCTTGCACCAGACCTCTTGGTCCTGAAGGACTGTTAGCAAAGAGCCACTGTCAAGGTGAAGAACTGGACCCGGCTCAGAAGTTTTATCTCTGGAATCCCTTTTGCTCCTTTCCCTCAAGGCCAAAATCGGTTTAAGAACAATGGCTGGAGTCCTCTATTGGGAGCACTCAGGCAATCAGGGTTGAGACTACTCACATGTCCTGCACCACTATATACTGGTGGGGCACAAGCCCGTCAAGCCCGTTGTGCCTGCCTTCCCACCAGTCCTCGGACGCGCGGTGATACAGCAGCAGGGAGGCACCCTTCTTGAAGGACAGCTCTCTGGCAGACCGCCCCACATAGTCAAACTTGGCTATTGCTTCTATTGGCTCACATTCTGCAAAGAACACACCAGAAAACACTGAGAAACAGGGTTGTCGGGAAGGCATGACACACTATCTGAAAGGTCTACAGGAGGCTTAAGAAATAAACAAGGCCATTTTAATATGCAGACTGATCAGACTAATCAACCAATCACCAAGGCAGATGAAAGCATTTGCTGTTTTAAAAGATATGGAAAAACATTCTTTTGCTGTCATCAATTTTTCAGGCAAAGAAAAAAACCTGAACATTAGATCTTAATTTCCACAGCCTCTTACCAGAGATATGACAGTCTAATAAAGAATATTTTAAACTTTGCAATATGATACATAAAATCTCTCCTTGTGTTATAATGTCCTCCACAATTGCTCCAATATTATTTTGACATTGATGGATGACATTGATGGAGTTTCCTTGTAACATGTTTATACCATTTATAACATGAAAAAAACCACTATCCCAAAACACTAGGAAGTTCATGCTTTATTAGCTGATTAAAAAAAAAAAATCAAGTAAAATCACCATAATTACTATTTGAATACATTTAATTTCCTCATATGATTTTTTTTTGGTACCATCAGATCTTTAAACTACTACCAACAGTAATGACAACTTTTTCTGTAGTATCAGTAACAAATTTTGGATCTTGACTGTGAAATAAATATATCTTAAACTGCCCTTTACTCAAATTAAAAATCCAGATTAGGCCAGGCATGGTGGCTCATGCCTGTAATCCCAGCACTTTGGGAGGCTGAGATGGTGAGGCCAGGACTTCCAGGCCTGCCTGGTAGATCCCATCTCTACAAAAAATAAAATACTTAGCTGGGCATGGTGGCATGTACCTTGAGAGGCTGAGGCAGGAGGATCACTTGAGCCCAGGAGTCTGAGGCTGCAGTGAGCTGTGATCACACTACTGCACTCCAGCCTGGGCAACTGAGTGAAAAACAAATGAAAAAACACTTCCCGGCAAAAAAAACACCAGATTAAAAAATTTGATTTTCTAGGAATCAAAATATATTCCAGGGAATTACGGTGAATGAAAAAAGCCAATCTCAAAACTCCACATGCCATATAAATTCATTTATACAGCTTTCTTCAAATGACATAAATGTAGAGATAGAGAATAGATTAGTGGTTGCTAGAGGTTGGGGTGGGGGAGGGGATAGGGGAAGGTGGCCCTGGCTATAATGGGAGCACGAAGGGTCCTTGTCATGGAACTCTTCATAATCTTGCTATGGTTGTGGGATGAAACTGTATAGAACTAGGTAAACATGCACACAAAGGAGTACGTGTAAAACTGGTGAAACGTTTACAGAGTGAATGGATTGTATCATTCTATGATATTATAGTTTCGTAATTGATGGAAACTGGGAAAAGGGCATATGAGATCTCGCCGCATTATTTCTTACAACTGCATGTGAGTCTGCAATGATCTCAAAATAAGAAGTCAAAAAAAAAAAAAAAGATATCAAACTATGGGCCTAGAACTGGAATTCAGCAAGGATCTAATTCTGGCCACAAATACTGAAGGCAAACAAGAGAAACAAACTAAACTGTAAGAGCTGCTTTCTTTGTGATTCAGCTTATTGCAAAAGCCCCTCAATTTGGGGCCTTGGGATCTTTCCTCCCCTCCCCCAGCAACACCTCATCCTCATCCCTGCTGTCAACTCGAAAGGGCCAGATTATTGAAATATATCTATGCAATGAACAATATCTCGTTTGCTAAAAACTGAGCATGTATTATTTTCCAAACACTCCAGGATATGTGCACACATATTAGATTAAGACCTGCCTATCTGTCGAAAATTTTTCAGGAAATTGTCTTCTATTTCCCTTGGTAACAAACCTTCCCATTTAAGAGTTTATTCTTTCCTAAGTTTATTACAATATCTTCAATATCTGTTGTGCTTATATGTCACAACTGCATGAAAACTTCTTGGAGAGACAGCTGGGCTTCTTTCTCACTTGATGAATTCAAAATTCTCTGGGACATTATAAGGCAAAAGTATAAAAACCAAGAAACATATTGAAAAAGCTTAGGTTTTACCTCATAGTAAGGACCTGGGTAAATTTCAGCTAAACATTTTAAATAAAGACAAAGAAAAATGTCCCATCTTTTTGCTAGTGAGTAGTGTTTGAGGTGAATAATATTTCATATTGCAGAATCACAACACTATAATCTGCATGTAGGATACTTCTCAGCAAAGTAGGTATAAGAATAATTTTTAAAACAACAGTTTGAGTCCTTTAGCAATTGAATGTAACTTTTACACCATGTTAACACTCCAGTATTTCCCCCAAAATTATAATTTATTAAAACAATTTAAATAGCAGCTTTATAAAATATCTATGAGTCTGCCTCATAGAGGAGGAAATATAAATTTACATTTAAAGGGAATGACTTTATAGTTTATTCTAAGCTTGAAGATAAAGGATAAATCCTGGTTGACCTGAGATGGCATGCCAAAATTTGTACCCCAGTTCTTCCTGGGGGACAAAAATAAACATGTCGATGGAGGAATGAAGACATGCTAATTTATTAAGAAGAACTTTAAAGCATATAATTTGCAAATTCCTGCATGGACACACCCATATATTTGGCTTTTGTAATAGTCTTAAAAGATACCAGCACATGATATGGTATACAATCTACACCATGATGTCAAAAAGAAAGAATCATTAATGTTCTTTAATGCCATTCAGCCATACACTGTCAATGTTGGCCAAGGGCTGTTGAAGGCTATTTAACAAATATATACATATTTTATTATAATTTCATAATCATGACTCTATGATTGTCATCTCTTTTATCTTTTTGAAATAACTAACAGGATTATCAGACTTTGCTTATTTATTCAAGTGTGGACAGGTTATGAAAGAATGACCAGATAAATCAGAAGAATATTTTATTGGTAATCCTAGTACATCAACTAGTAATTCTTAGCAATTTCATTATTATGATTCTTTCTACTCCCACGAGAGCCATTTCACTGTTAAGTGTCAATCAGTAAGCTATTTACACACATTTTAGTCTAGTCACTGGAGAGCAAATCAATGTCAGGGCATAGCACACCATGCCCCTTTCATACAGAGAGCCTCACAGTCCTTTCAGGTCCTGCAGAGACTTCAGAGAATGCTGCTACTGCTAATATCAATAACATAATACTAAGAGTGTAACATGATCACTAAGTTTTCCAGCACGGCTATTATTCTATGCAAAAGTGAAGAAAATTCAGCAGAACTGATTCTCTGACTGCCTGATGATGTCAAGTCTTATATTTCCATTTCTTGTAATTTTATATAAAATGTTAGTATATCACATTTTCTCGTTGGGGCCTTCCTGTGGCTGACACTTTTCCTCCTAAATCTGTTCCCCACTGCCCTTGCAGAGGATAGTTTTGTGCTGTGACAGCCTGTCGTTTGGAAACAAAATCTGCTTTCTCTAGTGATACCATGACAGAGGAAAGAAAATACAATACAGGGATGATCAAAAAGATAATCTACACTCCAGTTAATTTAGCTACAGGACTTTGGAGGTTGGCTGTGGGCAAGATATCTGTCCTTTGTGAGCAATGTTTTTCTTTCTAGCAAAATCAGGTGAACATGATCAAAATGTTATTTAAAACACAAAGTACTCAGCAAAGCTTCTCCCTTACAGTCAAGAGGTAAGAACAACTGACAGATGGCAGGGTGGTAAGATTGAATGTTGGGAAGAGAGATGGCTGGGGCTTTGTTCTGGATTTTCTTGCTACTCGGGAAAGCAAGCAATCAGTTAAGAGAAGTCAGCAGTGAAAAAGAAATAAACCATATAGAGAAACAAGGAAACCCAAGACAAAAGAAAAGATGGTGCCAGAAGTAGGACTCAGAGATTTTCAAATGCAACATCACAAAAACTGAAGCTCTCACTTAAAAGAATATCTTCTCACTTATTAAGTTCAGAAAATGTCAATTCATCTTACTTTTTAAAGGCACAAAGAAAGGCTCTTCTTTAGCAAATGATGGACACTACACACCCTAATTATCCTCCTGCTAACAATCAATGAAAAATGTTTTATTTAAAAACCCATAACCTTTGTAATTGCATTAATAAGCTATCAAGACAATAAGAAATATCACAGACCAAAAACTCAATGAAAATGGGAACCCAGAGAGGTAAAATAGAATATTAGAACATATGAGTTAGATTTTGCCTTATGGGCATTTTCCTAGTGTGATTAACTCAAGCTTTCATGTTTTTTCACAAAAGCCTAAGTCCAGGGCCCGCTCAGCATGAGCCATCTAAGCCTCTCCCCTCCTCTGCCATCCCCAGAGAATCACATTCTCAGTTTCAGAGTGAACTTCTTTCTAGTGTTCTAGAAGTTTCCAGAATACTTCTAGTTCTTCTAGAACATCTAGTTCTAGAAATCTCTCCGTATAGTCCTCTATACCTCTCCATAGATTGTAACCATCTCCCTGAACCCTCCACCTTCCCTTAAGGAAATAATCTCTCTTAAACCTTAGAACAAATTATCTCTGAAAATCCTAACCACATTCCAGTTCTCAGGTGGGTTTGCCAAATTACAATAACTGGGTGCTCTGAAAAACCTCAAGCTAAAAATTCTAGGTTGTCCTAGGCTGGTTGGGTCTTAGACAGAAGTAAATGAAAGAAAACTCTCTCTGGAAGAACGTACCTTCAACTGAGCCCAAAGTGACCAGAAACATGTAAAAAATTTACAAAAACACTGGAAAATAAAATAATTAGTGAAAGCCAACAAAAAAAATCTGAGAAAACATTAGAATTATCAGTCACATAATCTGAAACACTGGAAAGGACTGATAATATAAGAGCAAGAGACTATAAAAAATAGCCAAAGAGCAGAAAGAATGCCGTGTACAACTTGTAGAAATAAGAAAAAAATAATTAAAATAAAAAGTCAATGGATGTGCTTAAAGCAGATTAGTCACTGCTTAAAGAAAGAAGAAAATAATTTGTGCATACATCTAAAGAAGTACTAAGAGGAAACTGACAGCCTTATGTTTACATTAAAAAAAGCGTTGAAAATTAATGCTGAGCATTAAACATAAGAAGTTAGAAAAAGAAAGGAAATGGTATCTATGGAGAAATACTAAAAGTTTATTGGGAGTTATTAAATAACTGAAAATATGTTAATGGAGTAGAAGATTAAATATCCTAAAAGATGTCAATTCTCTCCATATTAATATTTGTAGAATCAGTACAACTGCAATCAAAGTTTGATCAGGTTTTTAAGAGTTTAAGAATTTGAAAAACTGAGTCTAAAATTTAAGGGAACTGCAAAGGGCCAAGAATTATTAAGAGGGACAAAATCTGAGGTCTTGTTTTGCCAATTGTGAAGATTTACAAAAGGTATCAAAATTAAGACAGTGGTGTAGGGATAGACAAGTAGACCAATGGGAAAGAAAGAACCCAGGAAGAAATTCGCACATAGAAGACACTTGATTTATGACAAAGATGTGGTGCAGTGGAGAAAGGACAATTAATGCTGGGACAACTGTGACAATTATGTATCCATATGGAGAAAAAACAACTGACCCCTACCTCACACCATACCCCAAATAAATTCCTGGTGGCATAAAGACCTAAGTGTGAAAAGAAAAACCTTACAGGATTTAAAAGAGAGTATGAGACCAAAGAAGACATACAAATGGCCAACAGGTATATGAAAAATGCTCAGCATCACTTATCATCAGGGAAATGCAAACCAAAACCACAAATGAGATATCACCTCACACCTGTTAGGATGGCTATTATAGAAAACAAACAAAACAAAAGATAACAAGTGTTGCCAAGGACCTGGAGAAACTGGAGCCTTTGCACACTGTTGGTGGAACGCAAAATGGTGCAGCTGCTTTGGAAAATAATATAGAGGTTCCTCGAAATTTAAAAATAGAAATGCCATATGATCCAACAATCCCACTTCTGGGTATCTATCCAAAAGACTTGAAATCAGAATCTTAAAGAGAGATTAGCACTCCTATGTTCACTGCAGCACTTTCACAATAGCCAAGGTGTGGAAACGAACTAAATGTCCATGGACAGATGAATGGATAAAGAAAATGTCATATATACATACAATGGAATACTACTCAAATTTTAAAAAGAACGAAATCTTGTCACATGTGACAACATAGATAAACCTGGAGAACATTTTGCTAAGTGAAATTAGCCAGTCACAGAAAGACAAATATTGCATGAGTTTTCTTATATCAAGTATCTGAAATGGTCAAATTCATAGAATCAAAGGGTGGACCAGTGGTTGCCAGGGACTGGGGGAAGGAGAAAACGGGGAGTTACTAATCAATGGAATAAAGTTTCAGCCAAGCAAGGCAAGTAACCCCTCTAGAGATCTGCTGTACAACACTGTACCTACAGCCAACAATAACGTTTCGTGCACTTAAAAATTTGTTAAGAGGTTAGATCTCATGTGAAGTGTTCTTACCAAAATAAAATGAAATGAAGTGAGAGAATATGGGAGAATTATTTTCATTACCTCAGGGCACAGAATTTCTTAAAGGAGATACAAAGTAAAATAACCATGAAGGAAAAGATTCATAAATTCACTACTTTAAAATTAAGATCCTCTGTTTAGCAAAAGACATAATAAGCATATGAAAAGAAAAGCTACAGAGCAGAAGATATTTGCAAAGCATATACCTAATAAAGGACTCCATCCAAACCCACAAAGAACGCTCACAAATCAAATAAGAAAAAACTAAAGCCAAGACAAACCGAACTACATCAAACAAAAGAACCCAGATAACTCAATATAAAAATAGGCAAAAGACTTGATAGGAATTTCAAAAAGGAAGATATCTAAACATACAAACATATTTTTTTTTTTTGAGACAGTCTCACTCTGTTGTCCAGGCTAGAGTGAGTGCCATGACATCAGCCTAGCTCACAGCAACCTCAAACTCCTGGGCTCAAGCGATCCTACTGCCTCAGCCTCCCGAGTAGCTGGGACTACAGGCATGTGCCACCATGCCCGGCTAATGTTTTTTCTATATATATATATATATATCTTAGTTGGCCAATTAATTTCTTTCTATTTATAGTAGAGACGGGGTCTCGCTCTTGCTCAGGCTGGTTTCGAACTCCTGACCTCGAGCAATCCGCCCGCCTCAGCCTCCCAGAGTGCTAGGATTACAGGTGTGTGCCCGGCCCATAGATCTTTATTAACCATGTCTTTCATTTTCTGTAGTCTGACGTCGGAAGGACTGTCTTTCCAGGGTTAACCAATTCCTAGAGATGGCAAAAAACTTACCCACAAGCACGTTTTTCAAATGTAAACCAACCAACTGGAGCCAACAACCTCTCTTATCGGGCTCTGCCACTTGGGGCCACTATCACCCTCCTCTCATCACCCCAGGGCCAGGTAACAGACAACTGGGGTCAGCCCCTGAGGCCCAGAGCCTGCTGAAATGATGCAGACCAGCCAGCCCTAAGCCCGCTTACCCTGTCTTACTGTTTCTTCCTGTGGAAACTGCAGTGAGTTCCTCACTCTCCCTCACCTCCCGACAGACCCTGTGGCTTCCCCGTGTGGCCTCTGGTGGTGCTGCATGCCCCCTTCGCTCGGGAACTGGGGGTGACGAGCTATCTTTTCAGCAGTGGCTGTGCCTTGATGTGTTGGCCTAACTCTACCTCAAATTTTCCATTAAGACACTATATTTTAAAACAGCATCTTCATCAGTGATCAGAGAAGTACAGATTAAAATCATCACTAGATACCATTACACACTGACAATATTAGCAAAAATTTAAATGTTTGATAGAATCAAGTGTTGATGAATATGTACACATGGAAGGCTGACATGCTGCTGGTGGAAGTGTTATTATCACAGCCACTTAATTGTATTATTACAACCATTTAAAAAAATAGTTTGGCCGTATGTAGTCAAGTTGAAGACATGACTACTCCTAGGGATATGTCCTAGAGAAACTCCTGTACCTTTGCAGTAGGGGACATGTTCAAAATGTTACTAACAGTACAGCGCTGTTCTTTTCTTTTCTTTTTTTTTTGAGCCAGAGTCTCACTCTGTTGCCCAGGCTAGAGTGCCGTGGCATCAGCCTAGCTCACAGCAACCTCAAACTCCTGGGCTTAAGAGATCCTCCTGCCTCAGCCTCCCGAGTTGCTGGGACTACAGGCATGCGCCACCATGCCCGGCTAATTTTTTATGTTTTTGGTAGAGACGGGGTCTTGTTCTTGCTCAGGCTGGTCTCAAACTCCTGAGCTCAATCTATCTGCCTGCCTCGGCCTCCCAGAGTGCTGGGATTACAGGTGTGAACCATCGTGCCTAGCCAGCACTGTTCTTAATATAAAAAAAGGAAAATACCTCACATTATTCATCAAGAATAGAATAGATATATACAATGGAATATGATTAATACATGGTGGTAAAATAAAACAATTATAACTGCATGGAAACTGTATGGATAAATCTCTGTAAGGATAAATCTCAGGAACGTAATATTAGTAGAAAAAAACTCATGAAAAGTATATACAGTATGATTCCATTTATAGAAAGACCAAGAAAATAGAAAAGGAAATAAGAAACTGTTTAAAAACACAAACATACAGTGGTTACCCCTGGGGGTATGTAAGGCAATGGGATCAGGGAAGTGCAAAAGTAATGATATGTCTTTTTTTCTTAAATGTGGTGGTGGTTCCATGGGTTTTCATTGTAATTTTTTTATACCCTACACATATTTTATAAATATTCTTTTGTACCTACTGAATTTTGGTTTTTTTGGAGATAAGGTCTTGCTCTGTTGCCCAGGCTGGAGTGCAGTGGTGCAATCAGCTCACTGCAGCCTCAAACTCCTGGGCTCAATTGTTCCTCCCACCTCAGCCTCCCGAGTAGCTGGGACTACTGGCATATGTCACCATACCTAGATAATTGTTTTTACTTTTTACATTTTTTGTAGAGACAGGGTCTTATTATGCTGCCCAGGCTGGTCTCAAACTTTTGGCCTCAAGCGATCCTCTTTCCTCAGCCTCCCAAAGTGCTGGGATTACAGGCATGAGCCACTGTGCCCAGCCTCTGCTGAATTTTTAATACAAGCAATTGTTTATAATCAGGATATAAAGACAGGTTTTATAATAGCACGAGCACAGGGCATACCATCTTCACTGGTGTGGGGCTCTGTCCCAGCATCTTGGTCCACTTCCTCCAAGGTACCATGCTCACTGTATGGGCTGTCACTGTAGAATGGAAATGAAATTCATATGAAACAAAAATGGAGACTCTGGAATGGCAAAAGAGTCACTGGATATTCTGTTAATGGAATGCTGGCATTTCTGTTGATTACCTGGTCCTACAGGTGTATACATATACACATACATATGTGCATTCATCTTTGACTAGGTTATTTTACAACTTGTTAGAGACAGAAGTTAACTTGTAGAAAACTGATAGCATTACAAATAGTTCTTATCCATAGAAATACAAATTAGTTGAATTCTGGTACAATATGATTAAGTATTGCCTTATGGATACACCAGTTTTTGCAAATTCATTTCACCCTTCCTTTACCCCATGTAAATTGGTGGTTCTTTGACTTCTCATTTGAACTGGTTGTAGCATCTGTACCAACTTTTCTTGACACATGTTCATTTTATATCTATATCAGAATCATGATTTTATCCTCTTTCAAAATTTATCCCTTAAAACCACCACCACCTCTCCTCAAATGTGTGCTGATAAATGGAATGCATTGGTCTCTAATACGAACCTGACATCACCATAAAAACCCATTTATATTTCTGGTATTGGGGGTTGAGGATAACCTCTGTATTGTTGACTTTCTGCATAAAATGAGCAATACCTATTCAGAACAATGACTATGTTTAAGAAGATGGCCATAGTCAAGCTTATGTTTGATTATTATAGGGCTTTTACCCTGTTTGGAAAGAGTAGTAACCACAGAAAGTCCCAGAATACAACACATCAAATAATACCGACTAGACGTCTACATACTTGCTTGTTGATAAAACAAACATGACAGCAGAGTTTACCGGTGTAGCCCTAATATTTGGAAATGCTAAACACACCTTTGACATTGGTTCTAGAGCAAATATGACTATGAAAATAAAATTAAGTATATCAGCAGGGTTGAGTTTTATTCATTTACCTTCCCAGAGCCAGGTCAATCAAGACTTTGCACACAATAAGTACTCAAGTCAATATATATATATATATATATATATATATATACATATATATATATATATTTTTTTTTTTTTTTTTGAGACATGGTCTTCCCATGCTAGAGTGCAGTGGTATCATCATAGCTCACTGCAATCTCAAACTCCTGGGCTCAAGCTATTCTCCTGTTTCAGCTTCCCAAGTAGCTGGGACTACAGGCATACCCATGCCCAGCAAATTTTTCTATTTTTTGTAGAGACAGGGTCTCGCTCTTGCTCAGGCTAGCCTCCAATTCCTGGCCTCAATCAATCCTACTGCTTCGGCCTCCCAAAGTGCTAGGATTACAGGTGTGAGCCACCTCCCTGGCCTCAGGTAAATATATTTGAATTGAATTTCACGTGTAAAATTGCTAGGTATACTATGCAACTTGAGGTTTTGAACTTCTGGCCTCAAGCGATCCTTCTGCCTTGGCCTCCCAAAGTGCTGGGATTATAGGCGTGAGCCACTGTGCCTGGCCCTCTTTGCTATTTTTTGTTGACGTACAGTAGTCGTATATATATCTGGGGTATATATGATATTTTGATACTTGTATATACTGTGTAATGATGACATCAGGGTAAACAGGATATCTATCACCTCAAACATCTATCTTTTCTTTTTTTTTTTTTGAGACAGGGTCTCTGTCATCTATCCAGACTGGAGTACAGTGGTGTTATCATAGCTCACTGCAGCCTTGAACTCCTGGGCTCAAGTAATCTTCCTGCCTCAACCTCAGCCTCCCAAGTAGCTGGGACTATAGGCGCACACCTGGCTTCAAACATTTATCTTTTCTTTGTGTTGGGAACATTATAATTCTTCTAGCTATTTTGATATACACAATGAATTATTGTTAACTGTGAATTTTTTACTGAACTGTAGAATACTAGAGCTTATTCCTTCTAACTGTGTTTTTTTACCCTTTAACCAACTTCTCTTCATCCTCTCCTCCTTCCCTTCCCAGCCTTGGGTAACTGCCATTCTCTCTACCTCCATGAGATCCACTTTTTTAGTTCTCACATATGAGTGAGAATGTGTGATATTTATCATTTTGTGCCTGGCTTATTTCACTTACCATAATGAACTTCACTACTGGGTATACATCGAAAAGAAAAGAAATCAGTATATTAAAGAGGTATTTGCACTCCCATGTATACTACAGCACTATTCACAATAGCCAGGACATGAAATCAACCTAAATGTCCATCAACAGATAAATGGATAAAGAAAATATGATGTGTGTATATATATGTGTGTATGTGTGTGTATGTACACACACACACACACACACACACACACACACACACACACACACAGGAATATTATTCAGCCATAAAAAAGAATGAAATTCTGTAATTTGTAGCAACATGGATAGAACTGAAGGCCACACTGCCACATTAAAAAGTTTTTATCCCAACAGTATGTTAACATAATAAATTTGCTCAAAATGATCTATACTACTATAACTGGTTACAACATTTATTAGTAAGAGTGAAAATGAATGTAAGTAAGAATGGAAATAAATTTGGTTGACAGAGCTCCTTTAAAATGAGAATTTAAAAGTATGTTACATGGAATCAAAACTCTCTGATTAGGAATTAAAATGAACTCTGTCGATTCACTTATCTTTTTTTGATTTAATGTAATAATAAAAATGAATATAGTTCTATATAACATCAAAACCTTTATTCTCTACAGAAGCCATGGTAGGGTAGATTTATTTAAAAAGATGTAACCTTTGGGTAAAAGAGAGGGATGAACATGAGTTTCCACAATGAAAAATGAGTGCTGCCATGGGTCTTAGTATTCTAATTTATCTCAAGTATTATTGCTTCTTGTACTTTGTTTCTTCTTCTTTTTTTTTAAATTGGAAGCATTGGTGGCTTATGAGAAATTCTTTTTCCTAAATAAACTGATTATCTGTATTTCCAAAATTTTAGGGGGAGGGAGGAGGACTAATATTGCTAGACTTACCAATAGTCATCACCAGCCATACATTTCTCATAAACAGGGCCATCCAGCTCTTTCGCATCAGGGAAAATAGTCTCATGGTGGATGATGATGGTTTTGACAATTTCATTCACATGAGCCTGGCAAGACACTTGATCCTGTATTTCTGGGACGGGCATCAATGTTGGGCCAAAGCAAATGGCCAGGTTATAGGGGTCCATCATGTTCTCATCACTGTACTGTGAAAGACTGTAAAAGGAAGCAAGTAATGAATTACAAAAAACAAAGGGGGAAAAAGAAAATAGATGTTTAATAAGATACCTCATATTCTGAAAATAGGGATATAAAATATCCTATTTGGCTTATTATAATTATTAATAGAATAAAATGATACCCTGTCCTATTTAGTGAACTCCAAAGATAGTAAAATGACTTATGACCTGCAACTATTTAGAAACTGAGAGGGGAACATAAGTCCCTACTTGTTTAAGTAAGTGACATTTTTCAAAGTCACGAGGGAGTTTAAGATAATATCCACTACAGTGGAGACCAGGATCAGGTAAGTGAGCTTCATTTGTAAACCTTATGGTCAGGCTCTAAATGCTGCTCAAGCAAATTTGGGAGAGACAGTAACGATTTCCATAAAGCTTTATGGATATCTTTAAAATTGCCCTCCCACCACTCAAAAATATCTCATATTTTAGTTTAATCCTGTAAATCTGGAAGAAAGCCTAGAAGAAAACAATGTAACTTTTCTTTGTAAGCATTGAAAGGAAGTAAATAACAAATCCAGGCTTTATAATCTACTTGTATGTAAGACTACCAACACGAGGTGACAATTGGCGTCTCAAAGGACATTACATGTGCAAGAGAAGGGGAAAAGAATCTTTAGTTCTCTTAATTCCATCTGAGGTTGGCAAACGTTGGGGAGATTTCCAGCTGTCTAGTGCTAATTTCTAAATTCAATCCGATGGATATTTGTGAACTATCTTCGCAGGTGACTCAAAATAAACCAGCTCTTTATGGCGATGCCTCTAACACATGGGCAAGTTCCTGTTCTTGGGAGAGTTTAGAGACATTATCTTTCAGTGTATAGAATGTCAGTCTTGAAAGGAAATGTAAAATCCAGGTGAACAGATGACAAATGGAGGGAGAAAAAAAGGAGACTCAACTACCGTTGTGAGATGATGACAGATACAAAGAAACTAAGATATCACATGACATGATACTTTACCCGTTTTTCAGAAATAAGATAGTCTAGAAAGTAGAAAATACAAAAGCATAATTTTCATAGCTAACATATGTCTTTCCCTGCTGCCATTTCTCAAACATACAATCTCTAAAAAAAGTTCAGAATAAGAGCAAATGATCGTGTTACAGATCACCTTGAAAGTGAATGCACCTTGAAAATGGAGATTCAGAATAGGAATGATCTAATTTTCAAAAGACACACTTGAGCTCAGTGGGGAGAGTTACAGTTAATCTTTCTGGGTCTTTTAATGTAGTGCTGGTTTGAAAAGCAACAAAGGTTATTTCAAAAGTTTTGATTTTACAATAAAAAACAACAGCTAATCTCTCTTTCCCAAACCCCTGTCCCAAGCATCCTGCCCTAGAGGCAGGGCCCTCGAGTCTGCATGAAGGCAGACGTGGGTGGCGAGGGGGCATCTTTGGGCAGGTCCACTGGAAGCAATGCCAGCCGTCAGACCCATGGTGCAGTTGCCATTCTGTTGAGGTGCATGATGAGTTAGATTCATCATGGGGTTGAGAACTTTCTTAACAGGCTGCTTCCCTAGTCCAATGTGGTTTATGGTTCACAATGGGTTTTGCTCAGGTGTGTCAGGAAAATTTGGTAGGAACAGCCTGGAGAGAGGCCCAGTGGGAATGCAAGGTACTTCATCGTAGTCGGGTGGGGACAAAGGCAAGCCTCTGAATTTTTAAAACTGCCTGGGTGACCGGGTTTATTTAAAGGTAAAAAACGTGCAGCATGTAACCTTAAACACAGTTTAAACCCATCTCTCTAGATACCGCTTATTTCCAGCGGTGATTTCTGTGCACATGGGGTTCCCACCGTCATTTGTGAATGTTTGGGGCACTTCAGGGTCAGCAGCAGAGTCCCATTCTGTATGGCTCCCTCCCAGCATTTCCCTATTGTATGATGCTTGGCTCCTGGGGGCAACCTGAGAGGGTACGATTTCGGGACTAGTCAGAGGGATTGTAATAAATCTCCATGGCTTTTGAGAACTTAGAACATCCCGTGAAATGGAAAAGAGAAAATATCCTAACTTCAGAAAGGGAGGATCATGCTAGCATGAGAAGGCATTGCCCCAGGCTTACTCAATAAGTTGACCCCCGATCTCTTTATTTCCAACTGCTTAACTGAAATGTTGAATAGTGAGGGGACTCTTAGATTGAACTTGGGAAAGATGTTCTTTCTTATAATGGAGCCCACATATCAAGAAGCAACATAACTGAAAATCAATTTGCCTAAATTAAGAGAGTAAAAGGTTCTTTGAAAATAATGTGGTGATTTTTAAGATTTCTGTTACATTGTTTAAGAGAACATTTGAGAATTATTTTCTTCTTGACAAGGTCTCATTACAGTGAATTTGTAGGAGTTGGTTTTTGGCTCTGTGTATAAGTTCACCTATGATTTCTCTCCATCCCTGACTATGACATTAAAAATCACAGACATTCTCTGCACTGAGCAGCCGGTTTACATCATTTTGACAAAAAATTCATGACATTCATTCTCGATGGAAGTTGGAAAAACACATATTTCATCGAAAAGTGTTATTTTTAGTAGTATTTGAATATTTTTGCTTTTATGGCCACAATTTCTGCATCTGAGGTAGAGCTTTCATCTATCATACAATGACCTTGAGCTGCTGAGGAAAAATGTATCTTCAGTCTATATTCAATCATTTTCTCTTGAACTCCACTGATAAATGGAAACCAATGTACATTTTACAGGATCCAAGAACAAAGACAGAATTCAGATGGGGATTTTTAGCAGAGCATTCGAGTACTTACTGATTGAGGAAGGCAAAGAGGTACCTCATCACTATAAGGACCGACCTGGGCAGGGTTAGGAGGAGTTTGCGGATGTGCAGCGCCCTCTCATAGAGATTATCTATTCCTACAGACAGAAGATGACATGGTCAGGGGCCTTTCTCGTGCCACGCTTACAGCAGAACGTTGCAGTACACATATTACAGGTGCACATCTGAACATAAACAATGCCTTGCTCTTGGGTGAGATGTAACTGTAACCAACACAGTGAAACAGTGATTGGCTTGGGTGTACCACTCCGACCCTCACTATTTTCTCTGATTTTCATGGTATTGGTCTTGGCTTTGAGTAATTTAGAGTCTTCTAGATCTAAAAAAATCATTTTTCCCTTGCTGCTCATTCTAAAATTTGCATCTGATATGGTTTCGACTCCTTTTTTGCTCCATGTTAAAAAAAAGTAGATTTCTGGGACACGGCGCCCCTCCTCCAACCATTATGCATTAACTCATCGTATATTTATTTGTTTATTCTATCATCCAGGCAATGTGCCAGGTTTTGAATCTCTCTTTTCTCAAAACTACCATAGCATTTTAGTTATATGATTTTTTTTCACCTTGTAGGATATTATTTCATTAATTTTTTAAATAAATACCTTAGGACTGGGGTTTAAGCACTGAGTTAAGCATTAGGAAATACACAGTGATACGGTTTCTACCCTCACAAAATGTATACCCTGGTGTTTACAGTTATTTATTTCCTTATCCTGTCTTTCCTGGGGGATGGTGAGCTTCCTGATAAGAGGAGTATCTGGGACTTCCTAGTATTATTTTATCTCTTTACTAGGAACACAAATTGTCCAAAATGTCTTGATACTACAGTGCTTGTAAAGAAGAGCAAAAAGGTTACTACTTTTATCCATTATTTGCATAATTATATATATGTATTTTACAACACATTTTCACATTTGTTATCTAACTTTATGAGAATAACAGCACCATAGAGTAGGTCGGGCACACACTGCCATCCTCATTTAACAGATTAGGAAGATGAGACCTGGCTAAGTGGCCTACCCAAGGTCAACTGGCTAGAAGGGGTACAGCTGAGATTAGCACCTATGTTTTCCATTTCACAGGTCTGGTTGTCCTTCTTGGATCTCAAAGTTCCTTTATAAAGTACAACTTTTTTTTTTTTTTTTTTGGAGACAGAGTCTCGCTTTGTTGCCCAGGCTAGAGTGAGTGCCGGGCCGTCAAGCCTGAGCCTTACACCTACCCTTCCAATACCTCCTCGGTCTTGAGTTGATCCTTCTGCCTAGCTCTCCTCGGGTAGTTCTGGGATTGACCAGTTCATCTTTTTTTTTGCTCCACCTTTATTCTTGTTCCGCATATTTTTTTGATATTACGTACGGTAAGTTGCCAATTAAGTCTTTCTATTATAGTAGAGACCGGGGTCGCTCTTTGCCAGGCTGGTTTTGAACTCCTGACCTTGAGCAATCCGCCCGCCTCGGCCTCCCAAGAGCTAGGATTACAGGCGTGAGCCACAGCGCCCGGCCTAAAGTACAACTTTGAAGACACCCAAGAAGCACACATTTGAGAAAATATTTTTTAAAAAAGAGTTTGAAAACAAATACCTAAGGTATTTGATAACCCTGCCTCAATTACTCCCATCAAGCTCATTTCCCTGGAATCTTGAGTGCTAACCCCAGCTGTTTTCCACTTATTATCAAACTGGGCATTTTATTTTTCCCTCTGCACACCTGAAAAGGTGTGAAAAATGTATTAGGAATATTTCTAACCACAAATGAATTTACAAAACAACCAATAATTTATCACGATTCCTGGGAAAAAAATACTCCCATCCCCACCTTTAAGTATGCTACAGTTGGAACTCTAGCTCTTTCATCATTTAGAAAATGCAATTTCAGAAACTTTTTAACCAGAATATAAGTAAAACATTATCATGCAGTTAACATTCCTGTAACATTTTTATTCTTTCAATATAAAGGTATAATTAATAATAGTGTGATATTAATAATTTTGAAGTGGATATACTATATCCTGCCTTTTTATTTGTAAAGTGTTTCAAAATAAAAAAAAAATAACACTATGAACAAGACAAGTTAGGATCACATCTATTGAGTATATGTACTTTGTTTATTTTATTTTTCTGAGACAGAGTCTCACTGTTGCCAGGGCTAGAGTACCATGGCGTCAGCTTAGCTCACAGCAACCTCAAACTCCTGGGCTCAAGCAATCCTACTGCCTCAGCCTCCTGAGTAGCTGGGACTACAGACATGCACCACCATGCCCGGCTAATTTTTTTCTATATAATTTTAGATGGCCAATTAATTTCTTTCTATTTTTAGTAGAGATGGGGTCTCGGTCTTGCTCAGGCTGGTTTCAAACTCCTGACCTTGAGCGATCCACCAGCCTCCCCAGAGTGCTAGGATGGCGTGAGCCACTGCACCCAGCCTGTTTAATACATTCTAGGCAATGGCCTTGATTTTTTTCTTAAAGAGGAAGATGCTTTTTTAATTTTTTAAAAAAGTTAAACAGATGCATAAATTCACTCAGGCCATAGGAACTCAATAATTAAGTTATCAACATTTCAACCCAATTCAGTCGCAGTAGGATCAAAACATGTCCTAGAGTAAGCTGTTGATCTTCCATGGCAACTTCGTGTGACACTTGGGAAGCCACTTTGTACAGAGAGGGAAGATGAAATACCTACAGATGAAGCGATTTTCAAGTCATTGAGAATTTATCGGGGAGGATTTTGTCTCTATAAATACTACATATTTAGACACAGCTTGATTATTATCTCATATCAGAAATTCACTGGTTACGTCTACTACCTGAAATAGCTGATTGATTTTTTTTTAAGGTATGATGTTGTTTTTGCTTTAAGTTAAAACAATAAAAGGATGACTTAGCACACCTGTATCTAGAAAGTCTAACTCTAAAAATGAAAATTTAAAAAAACCCTCAGAGGTAAAATTAAACATATTATGATCCATTCTTCAAACAACAACAAAACACTTCTGCCATTGTTTACTGAGGATCTTGGATGTTTCAAGAGTTAATTCTCCTGAGTCTCCAAGCTAATCCTCACTTTAAAGTTAAAATCAATTATCAGGGACAGGATTTTAGCAATTTTAAAGCAAGTTTTGGGAACCTAGAGTTAAAACAAAAGTAAAGGGAAGGAAAAGATGTAAAAGCAACCACTCTTACTACTTTATTGACAAATCACTCTGGAGGCTAAAAGAGGACATAGGCATCACTTCCAAGAGGTTTAATCTTAATCTAAGATCCTCTTGTTTCTATTTCTCAGTTCTAAACTCGCTCCCTTTACCTCTGAAAGGCAGTTTCAAATTTTTATTTAAAAAGAATTGGGGAGCAGATATTTGTACACCAATTTCACAGCTGCATTATTCATAACAGCCAAAAGGTGGAAACAACCCAAATGTCCATTGACAGATAAGTGGATAAATAAAATATAGTATATACATACAATGAAATATTATTTGGCCTTGAAAAGAAAGAAAATTCTGACACATGCTACGGCACAGATGAACTTTGAGGATACTATGCTGGGAAATAAGCCAGACACAAAAGAACAAATAGTGTAATGATTCTACTTATGCAGAGTACCTAGAATAGGCAACTTCACAGACAGAAAGCAGAATAGACATTGTCAGGGCCTAAAGGCGACAGGGAAATGGGGAGTTATTGCTTGATGCATACAGAGCTTCTGTTTGGGAAGATGAAAAAGTCCTGGAAATGGTTGAACTGTATACTTAAAAATGGTTACATGGCCGGGTGCGGTGGCTCACGCCTGTAATCCTACCACTCTGGGAGGCTGAGGCATGAGGATCGCTCAAGGTTAGGAGTTTGAAACCAGCTTGAGCAAGAGCGAGACCCCGTCTCTACTATAAATAGAAAGAAATTAATTGGCCAACTAATATATATAGAAAAAATTAGCTGGGCATGGTGGTGCGTGCCTATAGTCACAGCTGAGGCAGGAGGATTGCTTGAGCCCAGGAGTTTGAGGTTGCTGTGAGCTAGGCTGACGCCACGGCATTCACTCTAGCCTGGGCAACAAAGCGAGACTCTGTCTCAAAAAAAAAAAAAAAAAGAAAAGAGTGATACCAAAAGACTAGATAAAATTATGTGATACAGACATATATTCTCTCCAACTACAGTAAACATAAATCAAAGCAAACCAGAATTGCTGGTGTTCCTCAAGTAGCAGCAAGTCTCTCTGTCTCAAAGGCCTCAGATCACGATGGCTATGAGCAGGACTCAGAACTTTACCTGGCTGGCCACTCAACAGGCTTGCAGCGTGCATCCTGCAGGAGCTTCGCTCGGGGACAAATGACTCATTTACTCTGAGTCCAGTTAGCGGGTTGAAATTTATGGTTGCTGCTGACACTCTGATTAATGTGCATTCCTAGCTGGCTCTGAGTGTGGCAATTCATGGTCTTTCACAATTTTATGCTGGATGAGAGGATAGATCTTTTCTTCCTCTCAGAAAAGTTGTCAGGGAGGAAAACCAGTATTTCATTTGGATTTCTTTTAAGCTGTGCTTTGTTTCCACAATTCAAGAGCTCATATAATTAGGTAAAAGTGGCATTCATCCAATCTTGATCACATGCTCAAAGCTCCCTAGGCTAATTTATGTTCTTTTCTCAGCAAGGCAAGGCTCTCGTGTTAGCGTCCCAACTTCCCAGCATGGGGGTTTGACAGCTCCATGTAAATGCATGTGAAAAATTCAGCACAAAAACACAAGTTCTTTCAGAAAATAGCAGTAAGTTCAAATGACCACCACTACTCTGAAAATCTCAGTTCTTCTGTGGCTCTATTTGCAAAAGTATTTGTTTGCCAGAAAACAAATAATAAATCACAAGATGCAAATTTATCCTTAGGTATAAAGACAGGGGAAGGAAATTCCTTGTGGCCACATTTAGAAACTGTTTATTTAACAGCAGCACACAGATATTTCTGAGCTCCACAGCCCAACCTGCAGCATTCAAGGTGAACGTACCAGTCCTAGGACATTTTTAAGTTTACTTTAACAATATCATGGCGTTAACTGTGTGTGTGATAGTGTATGTGGATGAATGAAAGGGAA